TAAACATTGAACACTTCATTTGGGACATACAAAAAGTTCCATTATCTATTGTGTCATAATTCAGTTTGAACATGATCCCACCTGAAACATGAAATGTTAATCATTACTGTTACTATTTCCATAAGGTCGGGGAAAAAGGAGGGGGTTGATAAACAATTTATTAACAGATAACATAACTGTTAGAATCTCTGTTTCTATGGTTGGTCATAACATTTAAGTAGAGATTCACAGCTTCCTTCTTCTATTACCCATTGTGTGTTCCCCTTTCTCTCTGCTAGCACTTTACAGCGTGAGGTTCTTTACAGTGACCCAAACCTTTGAGCCTACAGGATTTGAGTTCTCGATGTTCTTCTCTTTATTAAGTTGGCTCAGTTTTCCACTAATCAGGACCATTCAACTCACATGGACTTGCCAATAGATTCCTAGGTTTTAGATATAGTCCTCTTTGATCTGTTGTGTAGCAACAACCCAATTTCCCATTTATATTGTAAACAATTACTTAGGACTATATAGTGACTCCTTTCTTTGCCTGTCTCAGTTTCGAAATCAACAGGCTGTGAATTCCCTGGTGGAAGTATTCAAGCCCCCAAATCTACTAAGTCCAATTTTTTAGTGCTGGGAAGAAAAAAATCCCTTAAGTAAGTTATTTAGTGTAACAGTGAGAAAAATCTCGTTGGTTCCTGGACCCCTGAATTCTGGCTACCATATATTGGCTATTGGTTTAAGGATTATACTGCATTCTTTAGAATAGCATCTCACCCTCTCATGGTGTTCAACAGCTGGTGCCATAATTGATCCTTCAGCAAACCATTACACCATTCAATATAATTAATGACACCAGCTCCTTCTAGGTGATGGGGCCTGTGGTAAAACCATTGAATTCCAAAGGTGTAAGTCAACTGTCATACCTCCTGTGCTGTAAAATAGGTCCCCTGGCAAGGGTAATACGTGGGAGGGCAACGCAATGGAAGAGTCATTCTGTAGGTCCATGAATAATGGTACTGGCAGAAGTGCTGTGGGCTAATATGAGATACATATCCTGGGTAAGGAAAATCCATACCCAGGATATGTATCTATCCTGTAGGGACAAATGGTGTCCCCTCCATGATATTACATGTGCAATATTGAGCTCTGTGGTTGAGGTAAATTGCTGCTTTGCTGCTGATTCCCTAGGGAAGGCTTTTTGTGAAGCTCATTAGCAACCTGCCACCAGGTGGGTGGTTGGTCCCCCTAGGAAGTAATCGGGAAATATC